AAAGACTTTAAGAGACACTATAAATGAGTATCCAAATGATCAAAAAGCACATGAAAAATGTTCAACATCTTTAGGCATCTCAATAAATACAAAAGAAACACACTACCATGAGGCAGCTGGGATATGAAAATTAAAACCACAGTGAGATGCCACTACAAACCCACTAGACTGGCTTCGATTAAAAAGACTAATAAAATCAAATGTTGATAAGGATATGGAACATGGGGAACTCTCATATTGCGGGTGGGAATGCAAACTGGACAACCACTTCTGAATAGTCTGACAGCTCCTATAAACGCTCAGCATTCACTTAACAATTCCACTCCTAGGTGTCCACCCAAGAGAAGAAGTTATACACATGACTACACAAAATCTTCTACACAAATACTCACAACAGCTTTATTCACTAGCTAAAAACCAGTGACTGCTAGATTATTCTCAGATCAAACAAATTCAAAACTAAGATTATGCATTATTTAAAAATCAACAAAATTAAGGGGAGGGGGTATTCACAGTTGCTCTTCCCTGGGGAGAGCAGCTGTGGCTAGCACTGTCTCCTGGGATGCCCATGTGCCCTTGCCATTTGTGGAATCTACATTCCAGCTCTAACCCCTCCCAGTTTTTCCATCTGCTTAAGAAATACTTAGAGAATAAATGAATCCAGTGTTACGTTGCCAGGATTACAGGTGAGGAGACACCTACCATAAATTCAGGCCTCTGTCCCTCACTGGTCACCAGGCAGCTATGAGGGGAAAACACCAGACCCACACATACACTGGGTCTCAGCTACCTCCACTCCCCACACACCATCCATGATCAGTGGAGGTGTTTCCAAGAGCTGTCCGGGGCTGGAACAGTAGAAAGGAAAAGAGAAAAAAAAGAGAAGGAACAGTACCTGTAAAGTTCCTTTCGGCCACTAGCCCCAGGTCTGAGACCCTATAGAAACCTCTCTAACCAACATGATACAGTTTTAGATGCCAAGATTGAAATAAAGATGAGAATATCTAAATTATTTTCCTCAACCCCAGCTTTTAAAAATCCCTCCACGAAACACTGTTAAAAGATGTGAAGCCACACAGAACCCAAGAATGGACTAACAGTAATCAAAGGGATAGGGACTATGGTGTATGGGTGGGAATGGAGGGATAAGGGAAGGAGAAAGAAAAGCGGCATTGTTTAGCATGTGTATTGTGTGGGGTGGCACAGAGAAGGCTGTACAACACAGAGAAGACTAGCAGTCATTCCACAGCATCTTACCATGCTGATGGACAGTGCCTGTAATGGGGTGTGGGGGGTGACTTGATAATGGGGGGAGTCTAGTAACCATAATGTTTATATTAAAGTGTATATTAATTATACCAATAAATAAATGAATGAATGAATGAATGAATGAATTTTCAGCGGGGGGGGGGGAGATGTGAAGCCAAATCAAGAATTCATTTCCTGAGAATCTGTCAGGATGCTGTCCTAAGATTTAATATACGAGACCACATGTACCCATAATTAACTACCTTAGGCTTGTATACACACTCACTGTTTCAACAAACGCACACACACACATGGATGTGGTCCAGGTTTAACATGTGGCCCAAATTAGGCAGGTAAGTGCTGTTCCTTTGGAAAAATTGCAGGAAAGAAAAATCTCCTTAGAGACAACTCAATCAACCTCAACTCCCAGCTGGCTTCATTATTCTCTTGTCCTCAATATTATAAAAACTTTTCAGCATTTATACCCAAACACTTGGGGGGAAAATTGCTCTGAATAAATTTTTAAAGTACTGAACTACCTAAATCGTCAGCCCAATGCATTGTTTCATATCTAGTACAAACTGTTAAAACGTTATTCATTAATGATGTTAACACCTAAATAAAGGGTAGAAACTCACCTATTATAAATGCAAGGTAGCATTTTACAAAGTGCAAATCACAGCGATGTGTAAAGCTACTGACAAGTAGAGAGCATTTTGGTCACTTTTGGTGACATCGCATGGCCTGGCCTCTGCTGCCCTGTCCTCTCACTCTCTCTGGTCCAGCCCCACTGACTTTTGGACCTCTGTCCTACCAGCCAGTGACACAGCCAGTCACACTGGCCTCGGAAAACAAGGTTATCCACTAGCACACCACCTCCCAAGAGAGATCTGAGTGGTGAGAATCACCCACTCCTTCCACAGCAGTCCCTCTTGATTAGTAAGCGTGCCCGAGTCCTTCCAAAGAACAAGCTTCAGACCACTGCTGCCTGGGGACAGACACACTATGGGGAACTCCCCCGACTCGTCCCAGCTTTTAGGTGCACACTCCTGGAGCCCTGTTCTCTCCCTGGGCACAAATGGTGTTAAAGCCACTGCTGAAGTAGCTCTTCCGCCCTTTGCTTCCCCCCACCCCCACCACCCCAATACAAACTGCACTCTGCCCCCCACTGCCCCCACCGCAGCAGTGGCCAGAGCCACAGCTCACCCTGAAGCTTTGTTCCCACCTGAGGGCACCCTTGAAGCCAGCCAGGACTTCCCTCTTATTGGGGCTGCACATGAAAAATACCCTCTCGAGTTCCAGCACACAGGGCTTGGGAGGAAAGGACGTTTCCCCAGAAATCCAACTCCATGTTTTGGAGACAGTAAGATTTTACTACTAAGGTCCTGGTTAAAGCTGTGCAGTGTCTGGGCACTGCAAACCTGTGGCATGCGACGGTGGGTTTCTGGGGACTGTCCAAGGCACCAAACCAAGATGAACAAGAATTTCCAATGGAAAAACATGTTGCATGTTACAAACAACCAATTTACAAACATTTGGAATGTGACCCTTGGTGTCTATTGGGAACTCCTGCTGCCGTGTGACCAAGCTGCACAAACACTTCGGAAAGTCAACTTCATTCTCATAGTGGCGATCTGGGTTAGTTTATAATTTTTCAGCCAAATGGACGCCCAGGGTTGGAATGAAAAGGCAGCTTAACATATCCTGCTTTGGCGACACTTAGTAGAACTTTTCACATTGGATCTAAAAGAAATGATCAGCTCACATTCTCATTCTTTAAACATATGCTAGAAAGAAGGTTAGCCAGTGTTATGATAAAAGTACACAGGTTTTTGACACACACACCCCACCACCACCAAAAAAAGTCTTAAGTAGTTAAGCCAAAGTATCCATTTAAAACAGGAACAAATAGAAGAACTTCACTTGGAAGGTATTGAATTTCAAGCAGATATTACACGTGGCTCCGGAGAAAAGCCCCAAGAGGAAATCACAGAGCCAGTAACAGGGGAAAAGATACACAAGCCCACCAGTGACCTGACTGGGAGATTTGCTGTTTCTAAGGAAATCTGACCGAAAAAGTAAACACACCAACTTTAGAGATATTTTAAGACTACAGAGAGCACATTCATAATACTAACAATGCCTATCACCCTTCAGAGCATTCTCTAGCATTTGCTAAATTATATCACCACATATGACAGTGGATACCAGCACTTGAAGACAGAAAGCCCTTTCCTCCTGACCAAGAGATGGCCCACCTGGACATGAGGTTAATGAATCCAAGTTCAGGACCTCAATGAAAAGACTGACCTAAAAGCAAAAATAAGAGCCCCCTGCATCAGCCACAGGGTTGGGTCTGCCCTTGAGGCCAACTTTAACTTTTAAGGAATAAAGTTCAATTTGCTAACAAAATTAACGCTTAAACCCCACTAGCCCAGGGGAGTTCATTTCTTACGAATGGGGTTGGTCACAGCAGCCATTATTCCAAAGCTTCCTCCAGTGGCAGCCTGGCCTTATATAACAGAAGTTGCCACCCTTTTTTCTGTATTATGCTCATTACTTAAGTAACTGTATCTCGGGGTAGTTAAGCGGCCTATCAACTAAAGTGCAGTAAACTCTCCCTTCTGCTGCCCTCCCCCCTTCCAAAAAGGGAAAATAAGAAAAAATGGGGACCTCTCCAAAGAGTTTCTACTGTGAACTCAGCCTCACTCTCCTCAGAATAACAGTTTCTGCACGTTCTGAACTCAGGCGTGCTGATAAGCCTACCTTGACACCAGGTTAGAATAAAATCCCCACAAACCCCACCACAGACTCCAAGTTCAGCTCAAAGTGAACTCAACGCCACTTCATTAGTGCCGGGGGAACCGCTGGCTGTTCACTAGTCTTTCATAACTTCTCATACTGCTTCCTTTTTATCAAAGTTTCCATCATCCTAAACAGTCCTGAGAATGCCGGTCAGAACATTCTCGGGCTTGGCGGTTCCCCAGCCCCGGGACTCTGAGCCATGGCAGGACACTAAGCCCTCGACGGGACTAGCGATTATACAATCATGGTTCCCGGAGCAAGAAACTCCACTGGAATCACCCACCCTGGAGACAATGACATCATGCGAGCAACTGGACAGGAAGTTGGGCTCGGAGAGGCGAAGGGTGAAGTCTTGAAAACCAATGCAGGGCGACCCCTCCCCACACCTCCGACCAGGAGGGAATAAGTCAGAAAAGCTGCTTTCGAGAGAATGGAAAGCCCACCGGGAGGAAATCAATCGGTAAATGAAACCAAAACCCCCCACCTCCAAGGCCATTCCTGCGGGCGGAGTCGACTCTTCCATAGCAAGGGGCCTCCCCAAACCCCGCCGGGGAACTTGGAGGAAAACGTGCGGGGGGGGGACAAAGCAAAGCGATAGTTCCTGCGTCCTGAACTTTCGCAGACGCCCCGCTGCGAGCGGCAGGCGCCGGGCGTGAGGGCGCCAGCAGGGTGTCACCCGGACGCGCCGGGAAGGGCCGGTCGCCCGCACAAAAAGCCGCCGGGACTCAGCGACGCCGGGCAGCAGCCCCACGAGCCGGCGCCAGGTCCGAGCGCCTCCCGCGTCCCCGCCCGCGCGCACGACCCTCGTCTCTCCTCCTCTGCCACCACGCAGGCAACTTTCCCCTGACCCAAGGGAAAGGCAGCCCGGAGGCGACCCGGGGACCCCGGCCCTCCCCGAGCGCCCCTGCCCCCCACCCGGCCCCGCTCCGCCCCGGCGGGCCACCCACCTGCACAGCTCGTGGAACTCGGTGCCCTGGGCCCGCGCGGCCCCCGGGACCCCGACGAGCAGCAGCAGCCTGAGCAGCAGCAGCAGCAGGGAGCGCGGCGGGCGGCCGGGCCCCAGGTGGGCGCTCTGGCCGCCGGCGGCCCCCATCGCGCCCGGCCCGGGCTGCGCGGCAGGCGGCGGCCGGGGGCCGCGGCCGGGACATGGTCGGGCCGCCAGGGCGGATACGGAGGGGAACGGAGTCGAGAGGAACGGAGTGGAGCAGGAGCGGAGTGGCAGCCCGAGGGGCGCGCGGCTCTGCGGGGCTCAGCGGCGGCGGCCCCAGACGGCATCACGTGACCGCGCCTAACCCCGCCCCCGCCCCCGCCCCACTCACATGACTCCATTGTTCAGGTGATTCTCGCCAGCCGGCTCCGCCCAGGCCTGGTCACGTGGGCGCTGCAAGCTCGGGGCAGGAAGCGTGCGGCGAGCACTCGGCGCAGGTGCGTGTTGTGGCCTGCGTCCCGAGCTTCCTGCGGCCGCCCGGCCCCGGCCTCGGTTTCCCTCAGCGCGCGCTCGGGGTTAGGGCGTGTGCCCTCCCCAACTTCAAGCAGCCGTTTCCCAACCCTGGCGACAGATGAGAAGGGAAGTAAGAGCGCTTGAGTTTCAGTGCCCAGCTGAAAATGCCATCGCACAGCTCTGCTGCTTTGTACCCTTGACAAATGGGAACACACTTCTGGTCTGCGGAGTCAGGCCGCCGAGCCCTGCGCGGGTGTTCCCAGCCTTTGCCCAGCAAAGCTTCTCACAACCTGCTGGGGGAGTGTTAATTCCCAAGCATGGGCTTCCTAAAATAAGGAAGGCAGCACAAATTTAGGAAGGTGAAAAAAGATAAAGGAGGCAAAGTGTAACTAGCAAGTGAGTATCACTCAACAAGGGTTTAATTCCTGCAATTCAAATACTTTGTTGAACGCAAACTGTGAGTGGCTCTAAGCTAGGCACAGTGGAAAAGTAAAAAGATAAATCCGAAAAGATGAACGCAAAAAATCTACCTTCTCTAAAGAGCAAATAAAACAATACAGACGAATCACGATAGTAATAGCTCATCCTATTTAAAACCTTACTTCATGCCAGACACTGTGCTAGTACTTAACAAGCAGGAATCCGGAAACCCTTATTTTAGTTGAGGAAGGGAGACACAAAGATGTTAAGTAAATTAGACTTTGACATGTGGCAAAGCTGGGATTCAAGCACATACAAATAATCATCACCCAATAATAGCTAATACTTACAGAGCAGTTGCTAAGTAGCTGTTCTGGTTTTTTGATTTAGTTCATTTAATCTTAACAATCTTATTAAAAGAGATATATTTATTGCACCCCTTTTACAGATAAGGAAACTGAGGCACAGTGAGATTAAATTGTCAGTCATGCAGTTACTAAGTGAAGAAACCAGGGTTTGACCCCAAGCCTATCAGTTAACCACTATGCAATACAACCAAAAAAGGAAAGTTTTGATGGCGGCTCAAAGAGAATGCTCAGATTTTGTGACTACAGTGTTATAATTGGTATGGCATCTTCAGTGAATAGAACTATCAGGTGAAAGATCTGTTGCAAACTGGAATACTCACTTTGTCTCAAAGTATCATCCTCAAAGTATATTTCCCTAATAAAGGTAAACTACATCTTTACAATGGAATGGTATAGTAGAAATTAGTGATTTAATCAAGTGATTAAAATTAGTGTCACCAATATTTGGAAAAACTAATATTTTCCACTTCCTAAAGAGATTCAGTGAAAAATAATGCTGAAGGGGAAGATTTAAGAGAGTATAATCATGACGCAGATGCACATGTACAATGTACATGTGTCAGAATACTGTCTAACTCATTAGTTAATGTGAGAACCAGGAGCATATTCCACCTGGCTCAAAGGGAAATCCAAAGAGAATCCAACACATATATGGGCAGTCAGCAATGCTGAAGTTAGGTTGCCTAATAGATGGAAGATTGGTTAATAATTCATAGGGCAGAAATCAATTTCATATCCAACACATACAATTTGCATTTCTAAAGACAAGAATTTTGGAATTACCATTAGTATTCTACAATTTACAGAGTAATTGTAGATCAAAGACTATGAAAGGCACAAAATCCATAGACTCAGATAACCCAAAAGACTGCACTAGAGGACACCTAGCTTTTTATTTAAGTTACTCAGTGATTGGTAGTCCCTTTCAGTCTTTCACAATTTTCCCCTATTATTACACAATAGCACTGCTGTGGTACTCTTGGCAAGATTAACCCAAATCAAATCAGAATAAAACAATCAAATCTGGACTGTGAAACATCCTATCAGAAAACTAAACTGGACAATTAAAAAATGTCAATGCTCTGAAAGACACTCTTCCCACTCCACACCTTATCCCTCAAAAAGCAGGAGTTCTTTTCCACAGCAAGGTTACAAACAGACTGAGGATCAAATCTGACTAGGTAGCTGTTTTGTAAATAAAGTTTTATTGGCAAAAAGCCACACCCATTTGTTTACATATATGTAATCTGTGGCTGGTTTTGCCAACAATGGAAGAATTGAGTAGGTATAGCAGAATCCAAAAAGCCTAAAGTGTTTTACCATCCAGAAAGTTTGCCAACCCCTATTTTAGGTCAGTGGTTCTCAAAAGTGTGGTCCTTGGACCAGCAGCTTTGACCCCACCTGCTGGCTTGTTAGAAATGTCAATTCATGGGCCCTACTGCAAACTATCAACTCAAAATCTTTGGGCCCCAAAAAATTGTTTTAATAAGCCCTCCAGGAGTTTCTTGTACACATGTAGGTTTGAGAACCACTGTCCTGAATTAAAAAAGAATAAAGAGGCAAGACATCAAAATGCAATTATGACCCTTAATTGGAGCCTGGACCCCAAAAAAGGAAAGTAAAAGGGCCACTTGGGGAATGATTGGAAAAATTTGAATATAAATTGTATATTACAAACTCTGAAGTTAAATGGTACAGGGCATAACTCTTCTGTATTTCATTTAAACTTTGCAGCAGACTCACGTTAGTTCAAAACACCATGTTAGGAGTTGAATTGTGTCCCCTAAAAAGGTATGCTGAAGTCCTAAATCCCATTTCTTCAGAATGTGACCTTATTTGAAAATACAGTCATTGCAGATGTCTACAGTTGACATTACATCATACTGGAGTAGAGTGGGCTCGATCCAGCATGACTGGTGTACTTTTAAGAAGTGGAGTAGAATCAGAGATGCACAGGGAAAAGAGCCTTGTGAGAATGTAGGAACGAGGCATCTGCAAGCCAAGGAATGCAAGGGTTGCTGGCAACACCGGCGGCCAGGAGAAAGGCGAGGAACAACTTCTCCCCCAGAGCCTTCAGAGAGAGCATGGCCTGCTGACACCTTGAGTTTAGACTTCTAGCCTCCAGAACTGTAGAATACATTTCTACTGTTTTAAGCCACTCGGTTCATGGTACTTCGTTTTAAAACAACAGGTCCAAACTGAGTCACTTACACTAAGCCCCAGATCACCAGAGACTTAATTATAGTTTAGGCCTTTCCCAGAAATGGCATCTTACACCAATCAGGTGTAATACTAGTGAGGTAATCTACCTGACAGACCCCTTCTATCCCCTAAAGGAAAGTGACCTTACCACCACCAGTCTGTTTTTGTTCTTGGTCCTTTCACACTCCCTTCTGCCAAAAAACAGTCATTCTGTACAGCTCCTTGGAGCTCCTTTCTATCTGCTAAACAGAATGCATGCATGATTGGCTAAAGCCAGTATGATCGTTAAAAATGTACTCAGTTGAATTTTGTTTTTTAACATTTGTGATAGCATTCCTAAAACACAAATGTACTTCACAACTCATAGGACAGACACAGGCTTGGAATCTAGTTGCTCCAAATACCCCACCTTCAGGGAGGCTCAATCTTCTTGCATCTGACACTGGCCTGGCTTTGGACACCCAAGTCCAGTTGACAGACCAACGACAGACATATGCTGCTGCCATGGGTGTCTCTTCTTGGTGTCTAGGGCAATAGCAGCTATAGCTGGTGAAGCTACTTAATGCTCCTTTGAAACACAAACCACAGGCTATCAAAGCGATGGTGCTCACCCCTCTGGAGGCAGAAACATACAATAAAATCCAGAAACTTTTCCAAACACCCAGGGAAGAGCATAATTCTACTAAAAGAGCCTCAATGCACATCATCCTTCCTTTTGAGAATTTCTTGATTCCTACAGTGATAAATAAAGTACCCTGATTGCCCAGGGGGAAAAAAACTATATAGTATATAGTATTATCGAATCAATGTCAAATTTCTTGGGTGAAATAATGATATTGTGATTTTGCGGGAGAATGTTCTTGTTCTTAGGCAGTAGTTACCGATGTAAAGTGCCATAATGTCAGCAACTTTCAAATGGTTCAGAAAAGAAAAGAATATGTGTGTGTCAATAGAAAGCCAACGTCCAAACTATTACCAACTGTTAAACATAGATGAAGAGCGTATTAGCACTCTAGTACTAGCCCTTCGACTTTTCTGGGGGGCTGACATTTTAAAATGAGAGTTGCAAAAGAGACCCCATCAGGGAAGAGATTGCCTCTGCGTTGAGCCTGGAAGGAAGTGGGGGAACATGGGCCCCCACAGAGATACAGAGAAGGGATATCACAGACAGAAGAACAGCAGGACCAAAGCACAGGTAGACAAAGAAAGAAGCTGTATAATGAACAAGGCCTTTTGCATGAGTAAAAAGCACATGTGAACAGACAGAAACTACTGCTAAACCCTGGCCTTATAAAATATAATCCTTCCCTCTAGTTCATGGCTTAGTGGGGGCAATAGTCCATTTTAACATAAGTTTGGAAAAATGTTGTTGGGGTCATTTCCTATAGGATCTTAAGTAGTCACTTAAGAAATTTAGATTTCATTGCATATAAAGTGAGGAACAATAAGAGCTGAAAAAAATGAAACCTTTTGAAGACTCATTCTGTGTCAAAAGCCACTCTGCATTATATCATCTACTCTTCACAGCACACCTGTGAGATAGGTGCTCTTATTGTCCTTGCTTAAAAGATGAGAAACTCGGGCATAAAGAAATTAAATACTTTGCCTAAGATCATGCAATTTGTAAGAGACAGAACTCAAAAACATCCTCCTCATTGAGAGCTTTGGAGCTTAAATGAGATGTTCAGTTAGGCTATAGGAAATCCATCTGGCTGCAGAGTGGTCTGGAAGCTGCTTTAATAAAAGTGTGGGAATTACTGCAACAAAAGAAACAGCAGAAAGCCTTCTGTCTTTCCCCAAAAATTGGTTAACACCTGGCCAAGGGTAGAACTCGGGCCTGATGA